CCCTTCCCCCTCCCTCACAGTGGGAAAGCCAGAGCAATCTGTTCCTGATGGGTAAACACAGGCATGAGTATGCACACACATGCTCGTGCACACCCCATCGATGCAGGTCACACAGGACCCAATGCTCACTTCACCCCAAGAGGAAACACATTACTCTCACTGCTACCCAGCAGCGCTCTTCAGAGCACCCCCACCTCCTCATCCATACAGCCAGAGCTCTGCAGACACACCCAGGCAGCTCACACACACTGCTATTTGGTTCACCATCATGGCCTCCCACGTGGACACCAGTGCCACTGCCTCACACACACTGGTCTGTGTGCACACACACATTATAGTCAGACATACGCATTCACACCAAACAGTCATGATTTCACATATGGATACCATCACAAACTCCCAACATTCAACCTTCCACACAGACACCATTATATACTTCCAGAAACCCAGAACCTCCCAGTCACCCTGAGCCTCTCACATCCTCACACCACGAAGGGAAGTACACAGATCCACAGGCAGTCACACCCTGCTGGAGCCTCAGGTTGCCTCACTGTGCTGAAAAGGGAGAAAGCCAGATGGCTTAAGGCAGGAAGGGAAAGGAGAAATTTTGTTGGTTCCTCAAGGTAAAACAATAGGCAATTATTCCTCAGGCAGCTCCTCCTCCACTAATCCTGCTTTCAACAGCATTAGGCTGTGTGGGGAGATCCAGGTGAGGCTGGGGGTAGTAAGGAGGTCCCAGGAGAGTAGAAATGATGGCACTGATAGCAGTAGGAGCATAGGCAGCAGAGTCCTCCCGCACTGCTTCCCAGGCCTTTCTGCTTACCCCTCTTGCCCCTTCTTCAGGATAAGAAGTAACAGCTCTCAGCCTAACTACATGCTGGATAACTTTAGGCCTCGAGGAAACATCTCTGTGCTCATAACTGTCTTGAGGGCACCTACATGTCAGGCCCTTCTATGCAGAAGGGGCAGGGAAGGGAGGGAAATGAGGTCCTGCTCTTCTCCCACCAAAGCCCTGTCATCACTGTGAGGGGGAGCAGATGTCCAGCAGCAGGCAAGATGGTGCTCCCCTAACAAATCACTGAGGACAAGAGTCCTCAGGCATCTTGGACCCTGCAGCCATACACACCTGGCCCTGGGGACGCTGAGTCGCTGTCCAGGCAGAATGGAAGCTAGGCTATACTGGCCAGCCCCCAACTGGGGAACAATTGGCAACCTTACAGCTTGCCACTCCAGGTGTAGCTGGGGTCCTGACGCCTCGATCCTAAAAGGAGCCTGATACGGTTCTCTAGAAGCCAGACAAAACAGGCAAACACCAGGACCTAATCTAACTAACGGCAGGCTGGGCATTCCCATACAAGCTAGATGATAGGGTCTTGGAGAAAGCTGTTGTGCGATCAACAACAACAAAACCAAACTACCAACAAAACAGGCAGTGGGGTATAAGGATACCAGGTGACAGGGCCCCCAAACCAGATAGGCTACAGAGCCACATGAAAGCCAGCGATGGGGATTCAAGTTAGCTAGGAGGTGTGGACAAATGAAGCCAGGCTTCGGGGGATCAAATGAAACTAGGCAAGAGGCCCACAGGATGTGAGAAAAGGAAGATATCAGGAGCTCATCCCCCTTGTCTAGATGTCACCCCTACACCCTGGGCCTCTCTCTCGGTAGTCCCCCCTCCCACCCAGGCAGAGATCTCCTCCCCCAGGCCAATGGACACAGCCAGAGCCCCCTTCCCTCTCCCAGGCCTGGTCCGTCTGCAGCCAATGGGCCCCGGCCCCATCCCTGGGACCTCAGGAAGTCCCAGTCCCTCCCACCGGCTGCAGAGGCAGGGGGGCGGGGGGGGGGGAGAAAGAGAAGAGAAGAGAGACAGCTTGGCAGGGGGAGCGCCGAGCAGCCGCGGGGGGCGGGGGCCGGGGAGGGAGCGGGAAGCGCCGAGGCGGGCTGGCGGGCCGGCGCGGGCGGGGGCGTCTCCGCGGCGGCGGCGGGGTGACGGGGGTCCCCGTGCGGGAACCCCAGGGGTACCGCCCGCGGGCATCGGGTCCCCGGGGCTGCAGACCGGGGTCCAAGTTCGTCCCAGCCGGGCTCGGGGAGCCGGAGCAGCCCCTCCCACCCCCCACCCCGGAGGATCCTGGCTGGCGAGGGGCCGGGCCGGGAGCGATGGGGGGCCGAACCCGCGCGCGGGGGAGCGGGCGAGCGCGGGAGCCGGCGGCGGGCCGGGTCGGGGAGCGGGGCTGCGGGCGAGCGGGCCGGGAGGAGGGAGACGCGGAGCGCGCCGGGAGCGGGCGAGGGACGGCGCGCAGTGAGGTCATCTTCTGAATCTAATTGTCTGAGTCAGGAGGAGATGTGGCACTTGATGCTGGGGGAGGGGACGGGAGGGACCCCCGGGCTCCCGCTGGGCCCCTCCTCTCACCCAGGGGTGATCAGGGCCACCTCCCCGCTTCCCTCGCCCACGGCGACGTTGCCTGGGGCCAGCCCGGGCGCACGGCGGTGTCGGGGCTGCCCTCCGCTGCCCTCCGCTGCCCCGGGCGTCCCGCGCCGCGGCGTGCCGCACCGCGGCGTCCCCCCACTCCGCGGGCCCAGCTCACCTTCCCACGTCTCGGAGGGTAAGGAAGGCCCCCCCCCCGACGCACCCCCTAAGAACGGGGAGGGGGGAAGGAGAGGGGGCGCTTCAGCCACCTCGGAGGAGCACTTTAGGAAAGGGACTGGGGACGCAGTACTTCCTGCACTGGGAATCGCGCAGAATCTGCAAACAGATCCACCTTCTGGACTTCTGGGAGTGAGGGTGCCAATGCCAACCACCCCGTCCTCCCGTTCCTCTGCATTTAGGGGAGACGTGAGAACCCTCGACGGACGGGGGGGGGAGGGGTCTCCTATACCTCATTCCTATCTAGAGCCGGACTCCTGAGGTCCCCAGAGGCCAGGACAGATGGTGGAGGTACAAGTGACCAGCGGGGTCTAGGCCTGTAGGGGATGCACACCAATCCATGTACCCAGGAGCACGCGCACATGCACACTCAAGCAGGCACACACACACATTCGCACGGGGGGGGGGGCATCAGGCAGCTGGGATGCTCAGGGGAAGGGCCACACACCACTCCCCTCACCCCGTGGGGGAGGGGTGATAAATATTTAAGGGGCTTTTAGCTCCGAAGGGGCTGAAGCTGGGGGGGGGGGATCCACGCTGCCTGATTAATGGGGTTACGGGCTTGGATCAATCCGTCCGCCTGCCGCTCCCTCCTCCCTCCTCCTCCCTCCCTCCGCCTAATGCGCTTTATCAGGAGACGCTTTTCTGACTTGGCAGCGTCGGGCGTTTTAAATAGACCCATTTAGAGCTGGGGTTGGGGGAGAAGGAGGGGGGTGGAAGGAGACAGAGATTGAGACAGGCTGGGAGACAGAGACAAATCAGGGAGAGAGATGCCCTGGAAGAGAGAGACTGGGAGAGGAGGGACGGGAGGAGATGCAGAGAACGGAGATGAGGGAGAGACAGAGGATGAAACTCCTGCGGAGGCTAAGATGATGAGAGGCCAAAAGGAGGGGGGGGCCCTAAGGAGCAGAAACAAACACAAAAGGAGACAGAGAGGGAGGAGAGGAGGCACCGGCAGCAGTGAGAAACCCGAAGAGAGGCTCTCTGCAAGGGCTGAGTGCTAGCCCGGAGACGGCAGATAGCTTTTATTTCCAAAAACAGTTTTTCATCCACTTTGTTAAATTAAAAAGCTGTTTTTAAAGTGGTGCTGGAGGTGCTGCTAGGGGAGGGTAGGTGAAACTGCCAAGTCCTCCCTCCTAGGCCTCCTCCTTGGCCCCCACAGAAGCTGCCTCAGCCTGAGCCCCTGGGGTGTCTCCAGCTCCCCTGCTCTCTGAGATCCTCTAAGATCCCCAGGGACAGGGTCAGGGCATCTGAGCTACTGTTCACTGGCAGGAAGTCCTTCCTGCTGTCTGGCCTCAGTCCCTCTTGCTGCAGGAAACTCACTCTCTCCTGTAAGCCCTCCTCCCTCTTTTCTAGTCTCTCTCCTAGCTCCCTAACTGTGTTCCCAACTTGGGAGAGGAGGATTGCATGCCCTCATAGCTCAGTAGTCCATTTTCCCAGTAAGCCTGCGAGCTCCCAGGTGTACCCCCAATTAATATCATCTATCATTCTGTAAATCTATTTCCTAGTTGCATCCCATTTGAACTGCTAGCACATACCTCACTCCTAGTCCTTGGGTCCTCTGGGAACTGTGGGGTAGAAAGCTTAGCTCTTTATAACCAACCATTCTTCCCTGCTCTCCAGGGCCCTGACTCCATCTAAGTTCCTTTTGAGGCCATGTGTCAACTTGGGGTATCCCACTCCACACTCAACAACACCCCACTCCTAGTTCTAAAGGGCTAGTGCCCCCACCTTCCCACCCCAGGCCGGGAAAATGGCCAGTCTGTTTGGGAGCTGAGATGAAAAGCCCAGCCGGCCTTTGTGGGCCTCGGGCGGGTTTTGGACAATAGGCCCTTCCGTTCCGCTCCAGTGCTTCGATTCCTTGGATGCCCCCACCCCGGGGCTGCCAATCCAGGGGCCTTGCCTGGACTGAATGAGAGGCAGAGAGGCAGACTCAGACCCACAGCTGGCCCCAGAAGATTCTGGACCTTCCGACCTGCCATTCCACCTCCTTCAAGCCCAGCTGCTCCCTTAATCAAGCCAGAGAGATGTCTGGAGGGCAGAGAGAAAAGCCAAAGGCTCCAAAACCTAAACATTCCCACATCTGAGACTCCACACCCTTTCAGTGTAGAACTGTTTTCTGATCTGGCTTTGCCCTTGCCTGTGTTATCATGGGTAAGTCTCTTCCTTTCTCTGGGCCTAGCACAGGGGCCTGAAAAGCCTCCAGCCATACTAAACTCAACATCTTAGGAGGATGGCCTAGGGAACAGAGGGAAAAGATCTCAGTCTTTCACCCAGGGCCCCCAGATGTACAGCCCCAATGCACCTGCCCTGAGACAGTTCTATCTACCTGGGTCCCTAGCACTTACACGCTTACCTTCTACCAACCACACTCCACACACATCAAAATCTTCCTCCTCCTCCTCCAGACCAAAGTCGTCCCAGGACTTCCAAAACAAGGAGGCAGGATGGCGTGACAAGGCTGGATTCTAGAAGGGCAAAGGGCACACAGAGGTCACAGAGGAGTCACAGGTCTTAAGCCAACTCATTCCAAACTTACAAACCCACTGCAAGAAGGGGAGGCTGAGGTGGAAGAGAAGTTAGGATAGTACAGATTCCTTCCCACACCTTCCCATTTCAGTTTCGAAGCACAAGGTCAAAGGCTAGAAGTCAGTGGCCTGACACCCCTTGCATACAATCCAAAATCCTCACACAAGCAGTTTGCAGAGTCAAGCACTACCATATCACACACTTCCTCACACTCACACTCACGGAGAGACAGGGTCAGAGGCAGGGCGTCAACATCCGCCATCATAACATCCTTTTCCCTGTCACCACTATGACTTACTGAGCATCTGTCATGAGCCATGACGGTTAGGCAAGTTATATGTTATCTTAATTAATCCTTTTGGCTTCCTCATGAAGTAGATTCTGCTATTCTGTCCATGTGAAAGCCATACAAACTAAAATTCAAAGAAGTAACGTGCCCAAGACTACAGAGCTAATCAATCCTAGAGCCTATACTGCAATTCGGAGCTAACTCCAAAGCCTTCTATAGTACCACTTTGCCCCTAGAACACTCACAGTGCACTTTGCCCACTGCACAGTGCCTTTCCAATAACAGACAGCATTTTTTTAAAAATCCCAAGCTGGGTGCTGGTGGTTCACACCTGTAATTCTAGCTACTCAGGAGACTGAGATCTGAGGGTCACAGTTTAAAGCCAGCCCAGGAAAGTATGAGAGTCTTATCCCAATTAACCACCAGAAAACCAGAAGTGGCACTGTGGCTCCAAGTATAGAGTGCTAGCATTGAGCAAAAAAGCTCAGGGACAGTGACCAGGCCCTAAAGTTCAAATCCCACAACCAAAAAAGTTAAATTAAAAAAAATCATGTTAAAAATCAAGCTGGAGACCAAACCCATGCTAGGAAAGCACTTTACCATAGAGATATACCCCAGTCCCAACAGTTAGTAATTATTCAGGTCCTTGGTTAGTCAGCCATTGTAATAAGCCCTTTACTTAGATTTTTATACTGAATCATTCAAACAACCCTCAGAGGTAATCCTGCTTCCATTTTACAGATGAGGACACTGAGATAATCAGTTTTCCCAAAGTCACACAACTAAATGAGCTAAATGAGCTAGCATTGAACTCAGTGGTATCTTAACACATCAACAAAATCCAACCACTCAACAGGCCCTTGCCTTCTCCAAGTCCCCAGGAAATCTTGAGGATTCTGCTGCTCTTCAACAGGTCCTAGATGTATCAGCAAAGGCTGATTAGGTGCTAACCACATACCAACGAGAAACCTGCCCAGATATGCAGATACTTCAAATCAGGAAGAGAGAGCTCAAAGCTAAAACAATGTAAGAGACAGGCTGGCTAGTAGTGAGGGATACATACACATATCAAGACACAGGCCCAAAGACAGGAGACAGAGAAGACAAAGACATGTATCAATCCAAGAATGACAAGTAGATGGAAAATGACATGAAAACACAGACACACACTTGGTGAGCACAGACAATAAGCACAGACACGGAGACCCCTATAGATCCATCTGACCTTCACAAGGAAAAAAAATTGTGAAAACAAGCCAGGCTCAGGCTGTGTGTGTGGCATATGTGTGTGTGTGTGTGTGTGCATGTCGAGGGGAAGCATGCAGTATTGCTACGCACATTACACCAGCTGCTTCCAGCAATTTCATCTGATTAATAATAAATGCTCCGTAATTACAGCAGTCCCCCCCAGCCCTTCTTCCTGTGCTTTTTGTCAGCTGCCGCCGGGCCAGCCCCCCATGGACCCCATGACCTACTCCATTCTCACCTGCTGCCTTCTAGGAGGCCCAGAGAATGTGAGTTGACTGGATGTAACGCTCCCAGTCTGAGGTCAGATATTCATTTCTCTATCACGAAGTGAAAATGCCCTTTGGCTCCATCTCACTTAGGACTCACTCGAAACCCTCTCCCCCTATCTGGGTATAACCCCTAACAAGGCCTACAGGCCCAGGCCTGGGCTGCAGGGAGATGAATTCCCATTGCCCGGTCTTTACCATTCACTGGCTGAAAGAAATCTCCATGTACAAACCACCTAGCCTTAGAATCTCACAGGTTCAAAAGAGGATGGAACCAGAACTGGAAGGGGGGTGGGAAGGGGTGGGGGGTGGCGTTCTACCCCATCACATCAATCCCAGACAGACTGGTCTCCGCCTCTGCTGAGACCCTACTTTGGACACGGGATGGCTCCGCCTCCCCATTCCTGAGGGGCCCCCCTCCCTTACCCCCTCAGGTCTACATCCCTTCCAGGCCTCCCACCCTAGAGCTCCAAACCAGCTCTATCAGAATCAGCTGCGGGTTTGTGCTGATCTGTTTCTAATCGCTGGGGCCTGGTTCACGCCCCCCCCCCAATATTGATTCCATTATTTGGAGAGTCATTGACGTCAGGGGCCTGGATGGGTGCCAAAACCGCCTTCTCTGCAGGCCTGGGCCAGGGCTCAGCCCCCTGCCACCCCCCATCCTTCGATTTCATGGAGGGGCCCAGAAAGGTCAACTCATGGGCCAAGGTCACATGGCATCTGCCCTCTGATGCTGGGCTCCTCTTGCATTTTAGGACCACCATGCAGTCCCTTCTCTTGGAAAAGAGGTGCCTGGGATCAGAAGTAAGGTGGAGGTCTACAGAAGAGGTTCTGAAAGCCCTCATTGGGATTCTAGCTGTAAAGAAGAGGCTAGAATGGGGCAGTGGCTCAGAAAAAAGCACTTAAGGAAGATTTTGGTTTCTTTGCCACATACTTATTTGGAACACACCGAAGCTGGACTTGAAAGGGTTCCTACCGACTACTTGATTTTTATGTCTAGTATCAGATGTGTCTCCAGACTCTCTAAGAAGGAAATTTTCTGCAGTGTAGGATGATCACCAATTACCCTCAATATTGCCATAATTTGACTAATTGGCACCACTAATTTTGTCAATCTTTGCTCTATATAAATAAAAATCTGTCTCCTGTGCATTCCCCATCGATTCTTGCCTCAGTTTCCCAGGCTCACACACAGTACCTCCCAGAGATATAATCTGGATGTCTCTCCCCCCTGCTCTACACACACTCTTTTGCTCTCTCTCTAATGCTATACGAGCCCCCACCAGCAACTCTTGAGCTTTGGCAGGATAGAGTATTTTTAGGATCTGAACCCTGTGTTCTCAGACAACATTAATAACCAATCCAGACAGTCCATGCTGCCCTCAGCAGCTACTCAGCCCCCAAGGCCCAGAGTTCTTGCACTTTAGTAAGATTTAGAGAGAATGAGGGGCACGCTCACCACCTCAGAGGAATGAAGGTTTTCCCACTTTCTGAAAAATCCTAAAGCTGATGAGAAGGCAGAATGAGCTCCATCCTCTGCCACAGAATCAGGTTATTTCTCTGCCATTTTTTCCCCCACCCTGACCTTCCCAAGGAAGAGGGTGTCTGTCTATCCTTTGCACTCCTTTCTTGCATGAAGGGAAAATCTTTTTTGTATCCAGCCTGAACATGACTCCTTTGAGCCAATAGAGGTGTACAAGAGGAGCCGTTGAGTCTCCTCTCTCCTTGTATTCATTCTTCATGGCATCTATTCCCTGCCATGCACTGTACAGGGAACTCAGGACACAGCCCAAATGGAGTACTGTGTCTGATGGAAGGGGAAAAGGGACATTACCCACTCAAACACTGCCCTCCTACTTTGTACCAGGTCTGTGTACAGATCAAAAGTCAGTGGTGAAGAAGGCAGACTCAGGATCAGGGGAGAGGGGTCCTACCAACCTCACAGGCAACTACGCCACCCTGCTGAGTGTTAGTTGAGGAATGAGTAAGTAGGGTGTTGGGGTGCCCTAGGCCTACAGAAATCTGTTCTCTTGGACTGGAAGTGATGCAAGTAGTAGAATACCAACCAGGCAAGCAAGTAAGCACAAGGCCCCTGAGTTCAAGCCCCATACTGGCACAAAGAAGGAGGAAGAGGAGAGAAGAGGAAAGAGAGAGAAAATGTATGTGTGTGTGTGTGTGTGCGCGCGTCTGTGTGTGTGTGTGTGTGTGTGTGTGTGTGTGTAAGAGAGAGAAAAAGAGAATATTTTGTTCTCTTGCAGAACTGAGGACTCTTTGGTCCCTTCCTAAACCCCAGATGGATCCTCATGCTGACAGTCACCCTCACTGTCTAACTTGAGTTGTCCCTGCCTCCATCTTCTGGAAGCCGTTTCCTCACAAGAGCAGAGTTGAACTCTTCTCTCCCGCCTCCCACCCCATCTACTCTAGCTCCTCCTTCTAGTCCTTGGCCCTGAGAGTTCCTGGCTCTGGTGACCCCCCAACCCAGAACGCTGCTGTGCTTTAGGAGCTCCCTTTGCCGGCTTGCAGAGGTGAAGGGAGACAACAGCAAGCTCTCCGCTCACGTGGACCACTTGCTTCCCCAGCCTCTCCCTGTAGGAAGCTGGAGTCCCTGTGGGTGTGGTCAGCCAGGGCCACAGGAGTTTACACAGCTGAGTTCTCCCTCACTCCCCCAACCCACAGTGGGTCTGGAGGAGGGTCAGCTCTCTCTTCTCAGCCTCTTTGCTTCCCAGGACCCCCCCCCCTCAAAACCAGGCACACATGGTCCCCCCCCAACCCATCTGCATTTCAAAGAAAATCTACTCCATATGTTTCCGATTCATTTACACTTCAACTCACCATGGGGGGGCAGAGAGCAGAGCAACTTGCCTCCAAGTCCCTCACCCCCATAGGGGGGCTGGAGAGCATGTGTCCCCTTCAGGGACCAGGAGCAGTTAAAGCCCAGCCATCTCAGCTTGCGGGTGGGAGGCTATAGGCCAGGTTACTACTGTGTGAGCCCCCATGGGAGGTATAGGTAGCTCAGGTGGCCTCACCCTCCTGTCTCCATAGCACGAGGGTATGTGAAGTCCAAGCCCAGGTCCCTAAGGCACGTGGAGTCCAAGGCTGGCTGCAGTCTAGCTCCTCCTCCCTCCAGAATACTTCTCTTCTGGAAAGTAGAAGGCAGATCCCTGGGCAAGCCCTGGAGCTGGGTAAGGGCTCAACAGACATTCCAGGAAATACTGTGAGACATAACATAACATAACATGGCCCCTACCTCTCTCCAGTCTGGACAGGAGAGATAAGAGAGAATGTGTTCTTGTCCAGTCTCCCCTCTCAACTACCTTCTCACATAGACAAGGCTACCTACCATCGCTTTTAGAATCACAACTTCAGTATCTAGGAATGCTCTCTGGAGCCCAGAGGTCAGCCTCACACTTCTTCATTCTAAGGAAGATGGGGAGATGTTTGGGAGGATATGAGCTTTATTTCCTTACACCTTTCCCTTTCTTCTTCAGAAGCAGTGTCCAGAAACTACTTAAGGGGATGTGTATGAAACACAGAAGACTCTGAGGGCTTGTGACACCACTGTACAACAAGGCGCTCAGAACTTCCTGCCAAGAGCCAAGTCTTCATGTGGAAGGCAAGTCAAGAAGATTTGATGGATTGTTTCCCCACCCCCTCCATCTGCCCAAGTGAGGAATATAACTAAATATGTATCCCATCTCCTCTCCATTGTTAGAGGGGACAGTTCTTGTTCCAGTCTTGTTCCTTACCTCGATTACTCTAACATATGCCACAAATCAAAGGCAATCATGGGTACATTTGACTGAGTCTTAAGTTCCTCTGGGGTTGTGTCACAATCTTAGTGTGGGTCTGAATGTGACTCCTCAAAGACAGAACTATGAGTGTAGCTGTGAGTTCCAGGATACTCAAACAAGTAAGGGTGAAGTATTAGAATTATAGTCAGAGGGTGAGCCCTTAGCTTGAGGACATTATGATTATGAACTAACTGTCCCATATGAATTATATTTTTGAGTCTAAGTGTGAGCGCCACTCTACCAATGTAAGTCTGAGTGTGAACATGAGAACTCTAGTGGACAGCTACATGATCCTAGATGGAATCAGAATTTTGAGTGTGAACACTCAAATGTCAGAGTGTGAGTCCAAGACCTTCATGTGAATATGAGTGTGTCACAGCACTTCCAGATCTGTTGGAATCCTCCAGATCCTGACAGGAGTCTAAGTGTGAGCTCTAAATCACGTGACTCCTAGTCTCTGCATATATGTGTAACCCAAAAGGTCTAATATGAATCTGAGTGAGTACCAGAGTCCCTGTGAACTTTGAACGTGAGACTCAGTGGGGAAAAGTGAGTGTGCATGTCAAACAGGAGCATGAGTTTGATGAGGAGCAGCAGTTTCCTGTAGGAGTCCTTGGTTCAAATATGAACCCAACATTGCTTTTGTGAGTCTGAGTGGGAGCTTCTCAGTCACAGAATGTAAATATGAACTTGGGAAGCTCTCAGGTCTGCAAATCCAGCCTAGAACCCCAATGAGCTTCTAAGTCACACTGTAAATCTGTAAGTTAAAGAACAGAAATGTCTGTCTACATGTGAGTCTATAGTGTGAGTCCAAGTGTGATGACAGAACCCCAATCTGAATGTGAACCCCAGAATGTAAATGTGAATCCACATGTTAGCCTCACTGTCCTGGTGTAATTCTGAACACATGCACATGTAACTATGAGTATAAACCCCAAGATTTTGGAATGAGTTTAAGTGTCTGCCTCACTGTGAATCTTGAGTATGAATTCCCAGAGCCCCAAGATGTCTTTTTTCGGGGAGGGGGGGGTTGCTGAGGATTGAACTCAGAACCCCATTCCTGCTAGGCAAATGCTTTACCAGTTAAGCCAGGCTCCCAGCCCCCTAAACCCCTAGTACTGAATATGAACTTTAAACTCCTAGGCTTTGTGTAGGTTCAGGGTCCCTGTTGGAGTATCAGTTCTGACAGAGTATGAACCATCTCACCAATCCCAACCAGAGCCCCAGGAGCCAGCTGAAAGGATCTGTGTGGGTTGTAAGGATAGACAAGGGCATTCCTCAAGTTCAGATCATCCCTACTTCCCCAGGAATATCCAATTGTTCCAGCCCCATCCCCACACATGCAAGGGCACAGCATCACATGCGGGGTTAGACACACAAAACTACACCCGGTTTTAGGCCCCCCTGGACTCCTAACAAGTACAGATGGACAAACACGCCCAGCATTTCAGACTTTCACCACCTCGGTGATTACAGCTTCAGAAACACCCCCAGTCACAGAGTCACAAATATACCACGTAGCACATGCAAAACACAACTGGTGTTTCAGACACACTCCTTACAACAGCATGCAGACTCGCACCCAGGGTTGCAGACAAGCTGCTAGCCACACAGACACACACAGCCGATTCTCAAAGAGAGAGACTAGACGGAAAGAGAAAGAAAATCCTGAATTTTCAACAAGGCGTGAAATAGTCCTGCCCGCCTGAAGCTACTGGAGGGGGAGGGGGCCCAGAGAAGCGAGGGCGCGAGCGAGCGAGCGAGCGAGCCGAGCAAGCGGGCGAGACGCTGGCTGGGAGGCTCGGGCGAGGAGAGGAGAGCAGCGGAGCAGGAGAGCTGTCCGTCTGGTGACCTCCGCGCGGCCCAGCCCCCCACGCACGGGGAGATCCACTACTCGGAGCAACACGGGGACACTCAGGGCGGCTCACACGGATCCGCACCGGAGGAGGCACAACAGGGGCACACTCACAAAGAGACACTTGGGAACACAACACAGGCGGAATCACACTCGCCAGAGGACTTACAAAGAGACACGCCGGAGGAGACCCACTGCGTGGAGATACATCCAGGCGGACTCAGGAGGAAACCATAGGCAGGCTCACACCAACACACACATTCACACACACACACACACACACACAGAGCCGAATCAGCACGGACACACAACACCAGCAGACGCGCAGCCCTCCGTTCACACCCCGGGGCGCTTTGAAGTCCAGACCGTGGCCGAGAAAGAAGCCGCCTTTGGGTGCGCGGGGGGCCTCGGCGACCCACCAAGCTCTGGAATGTTCGCAGACCTTTGAGCGTGTGGCTGAAGGGTAGGAAGAAGAGGGACCCTAGGACAAACCTTCCGGGCCACCTCCCTCGAGCCGATTGTCTAGCCCCACCAGCACCAGCAGCACCACCACGCCCAACCCCTGGCGCGCGCGGACGTGGGGGGCCGCTTCTCCTGCGCCCCCGCCCCCGAGTTTGCGGGCAAAGTTTCTCATGAACTTTCCTGCCTCCCCCCGCGGCCAGGGGCCCACGCGTGTTCCCCTCACTCTTGTCGTGCAAGCGAGGGCTGCGGATCCGCGGGTCTGTCCGCCTGGAAGGGTTCGAGGGTCCAAGCTTCGCGCAGCCCGCCGCGGGGTACTCACCGCGCCCTCGGGCCACCAAGGCTCCGCGCCGCGCCCTTCGTCCGCCCCTGGGTAGGGAGCGAAGCCCCGAGCGCGGAGCTAGCACCGCGGTCGGATCCCACAGCCGAACCCCGCGCCGCGCCGCGCCGCGCCGGCTGGAGCCACCGCCTCCGCTGCCGCTGCCGCCGCCGCCGCCGCCGCCGCCCGCTCTGCACCGGCTCCTCGGCTCTCGGAGGCTTTAACCCCCCCCATCCTCCTCCCTCCCTCGCGCGCTCCCTCCCTCCTTCCCTCGCCCATGTGACCGCGGGCGCCCGCTCGGCCGCGCGCGCCCCGGCTCCCCTCCCCCGCTCGCCTTGTCTCTCCGCGGCCGCGCGCCACGACCCCCTCCCCTCCACGGCCCCCGCGCGCCCCCGCCGGGGCACGCTCCCGCGCCTGGTACGCGCAGCCCGCTCGGGAGGGCACGCGTGCCTGCGCCAGGCCTGGGAGCCCCCCCCCCCTCGCGCGCGCGCACACACACACACACACACACACACACACACACACACAGCCACTCGCCCAGCGCAGGCACGCGCCCTACCCCCCGCTGGCACACTCGCCCCGCACTGGCACGCGTGGCCCCTCCACGTTCGCCCTTTTCTCTGGCGCGCCCTCCAGACGGGCTGTGGGTGCCCTCCCGCGCTTCACGCACAGCCGGAGCCGCGGGGCTCCCCGCCGCGAGCGCGCGGACACACACCCACTCCGCCCGCACCCTCCGAACGGCCGGGCGCGCACCCACTCCCCCGGGATCACTCGTCCCACTCACTCAGCCTGGGCCGCGTCCCTCCTGCGCACGCTGCCCGTAAGGCTCGGGCCCCACCAGGTCTCGCACACGCACCCTAGCCCAGCCGGGGCCAACTCTGGGGTCCTCCCTCCAGCATCACCGAGAGGAGCGCGAGGCAGAGTCCCCTGCCCCCACTTTGGTAGAAGAAGCCAGCTGGCTTCGCTCCTCCCCTATTCCTACTGCCCCCAGCAGCGACCCCCTCGATTCCTAGTCACACACAGATAAACCCCTCGCTCAGGACTGCGGGGGGCCGGACCCAGGGTGGACCAGGCTGGGAGCCCCGGCCTTGGATTCCTACCATGTCTCCCGTGATACCACCACCACCACCACCACACCACCACCACCCCGCCCTGGGCGCTGCACCCTCGGCTCTGCCCTTCATGCCCGGCCAGGCAGCTCCAGAACGCGCGGTTCACCCAACTCCGAGCCCCTGGCACTGGACATTCAACACCCTTCCTCAGCCTGGGCCTCTGAAGGGGCGACCTCGGGCCTCCGGTGTGGCTGCAACGTGGAAGGTGGAGGGTGGACAGCCTGCTCAACTTCCGAGGCCACGCGAGGACGCCACGGAGAGCGGCAGCGCGAGGCAGAGGAGGAGAGGTCCCACCCCATCCCCACCTCTGGACTTTTCACTTGGCCTTTGACCCACAGTCCCTAGGCCTTGTCCCTCCAGAAAACTGTTCCAAGGCAGAGGGCGAGGAGAGGGAAAGATCTCGCAGTTTCTCCACACTATTCCCCTTGCAGGCTGCCTACAGCGCCCGGGCCCTCTCCCAACAAATGCCTCAGAGACTCCCTTTGCCGAGGGAAAGAAAACATACACACGCACACACACACACACGCGCACACGCACACACACACTCACACAAAACAACCTTCCCGCCACGGCCCAGGCTTTTCAGTTTCACTTCTATGGCAGTAGAATCCCCACCATACAAGTCAGGGGTCCGCCGGGCCTGAGGCTCAGAGACTGCCGGCCTGAGCATCAGGAAACACAGGGAAATAGCTGCGCCCAGCTGAGATCGAGTCCACACACGCCCGCCAGAAAGATGTCCTCTCCCCCGGCACCCCGGGGCCTCAGCCCGCGAGGCTCAGGCCCCGGACCGAGGTGACCAGAGTGGGGAGGGAGGGCGAGGAGGGAGCGTGAGCAGGGGGTGGGGACCTTCGCTCCGCGCTGGGCCCGGGCGAGGTTAGGTGTGGTGGAGGGCCAAAGAGCCCGGGCCTCACACCGGTCCATCCCCACGTGGATGGGTGGGTAAGGCCGTGGAGATGGGTGGCTCGCTCGTGGGCTGCCTTGATGCCCGCATGCGGCCTCTTGCTGCAAGGTTGCCAGCAGGCAGGGATTCCGCCCCAACCAGCGTCCCCCCCCCCCCCCCCCGCCGCGTGCCACCCGGGTTCGCGGAGGCTGCCGTCGTCACTGCCGCAGTCCCGGGGTGCCGGGCCTACACCCGACATCAAAGGACCAGGAACGCGACGTGCACTTGTGTGAGAGGATGAAGGATGGGGAGAGGCGCACGTCGGATCCGGGGGTCGGAGGGTGGGGGCAGTGACGGGGCGGAGGGAGGGCGGGGGGGGGGGGCGGCGGCGGGGGGTTAGCAGCTCCTCCCGAAACGGGATCCAGTGGCCTTGCTCATTTCCCCGGGGCCGCAGCGACACCTGGCGGTCGGTGCAGGAAGCGCGTGCCCCTCTGGCTCGCGTTACGCGGGGAGGCCTGGCTAATTGACAGGGCTACAGTGCTCCTTCTCCAAGCTTCCATCACCTGGCAAAGAACTCATTTTCTTCCTACTTGAGCTGGGGCCACAGAAGACTGGTGGGGTTCCTGCTCTTGTTAATTCCGATAACCTTGCATTATCTGCTCACTAACTCCTGTGCTCCTAAGCCTCAGTATTGAATCCTCTGGGGTCTCTTCCCCACTGCCTTGGGGTTAGAGCTAAGCTTCTATTTGGTCTTCTGGCTGGTCTCCCATCCAACACTCACCTGGTTGCTCTTACTCCTGGCCTCCCTATTTCTGTGCCACCTACCTTCTCTATGCTTAAATTAAACGTCAGCGCTCTCTCCACAGCCCCAACTTGCATATTGACTGCCTTTCCTGTCTTCACCATCTGCCTCTCCCATGAGGAGTGGCAGAAAGTGAGGCCCCCAGACTGTGCAAGACATAGGGGCCCCGGATTTAGAGATGCCTTGGGACATTTGGAATGTTTTTAACTTTGACTTCCTGAAAGATTTTCTTGTTTTTTGGTCCGATCATGGGGCCTGAACTCTGGGTGTGGGCACTGTCCCTCAGCTCTTCAGCTCAAGGCTAGCACTCTACCACTTGAGCCACAGCACCACTTCCGGCTTTTTTTTTCTATTTATGTGGTGCTGAGGAATCAAACTCAGGGCCTCATGCATGCAAGGCAAGCACTCTACCACTGAGCCACCTTCCCAGCCCAGATTTTCTTGTTTTGCTGTGGGTTTTCTCTTCGTGTTTTTGCTGTGCTGGGGATCCGACCCACCACCTCTCACATGCCACTTAGCTATGTCCTCAGGTCCTCTACAGTTTTATACCCACTAAGAAAGAAGCGGGGAGCTGGGAAGGTGGCTCAGTGGTAGAGTGCTTGCCTTGCATGCATGAGGCCCTGGGTTCAATTCCTCCACCACATAAGCAAAAAAAGCTGGAAGTGACGCTGTGGCTCAAGTGGTAGAGCGCTAGCCTTGAGCTGAAGATATTGAGGGACAGCGCCCAGGCCCAGAGTTCAGGCCCCATGACTGGCAAAAGAAAAAGAAAAAGAAAGAAAAAGAACGGAGCGGGGAATGTGTGGCCAGGACTCTTTTTTTTTTTTTTTTTTTGGATTGTGAGGCTTGAACTCTGGGCCTGTGCGCTGTTCCTGAGCTCTTTTGCTCAAGGATACTTTGAGCCACAGCTCCACTTCTGGTTTTCTGGTGGCTATTTGGAGATAAGAGTCTCATGGACTTTCCTGCCCAGGCTGGCTTTGAACCGTAATCCTCACATTTTAGCCTCCCAAGTAGCTAGGATTACAGATGTGAGCCACTGGTGCCCAGCAAAAGCCAGGACTTGTGACTTCACACTCCACCCTGGCAGTAACCTAAACTTGGATCACAGCTTCTCACCAGACTCAAGCCTTTGGGCTGCAAGGACTCTCCCTCATCCAAGGAAGGAAAGCCCACATCCCTCCTCTTCAATCTCCCCTTACCAATGCTCCTGGGAAAGGAAATGCTATACCCATGTCTGCCCTGCAGTATTTTCACCGTGGATCCATTCCTGGCTCTACATCCCTCACTGGGGGAGGGGGGGGGTCCCTGTCCTGCAAGCGCCCAATATGGGGTCACACAGCCTCACACAGGCAGTAAAATGTCTGTGTTCCACCTCGCTATGGCACGTTCTAATGGCTAAAGATTGCACAAGAGTGGGAATCACACGTACACACCACACACACACACTGTCACACAGGCACACGCAGTCACACACGCTCTCAATCACACTGGGGTTTGGCAGGTCGGGGCGGGCTTTGGGAGGCAGTTACGTAAACGCCCTCACAGCCCCCCCCTCGCTCCCCCAACCCCCCCCCCCCCTGCTTCCTCGAGCAGTGCCAGCGCCCGGGGCGGCTTGGCCGAGGCCCGGGAACAGCTCGGCCTCGCGGAGGCTCCAGGCGCCGAGAAACCCGATCCCAACACAGCCCTGGGCCGAGCCAGGGAGGGGGGCCCAGAGCCCCACCAAGTCCAGGGTCCAGTCCAGCCCCCCCCCCCCCCGCCCCCGCTCGACGACTTACCCTCCCATCTTGGGACAGCACCTGGGTTGCACTCAAACACCCTCATTCTGCCCACCTCCTCCTGGAATCCTATTATCTGGACTTTTCTGCCTCTGTGTGCCCTGACCCTTCCAACCTCCCACACCAGAAAAGGACAACGATTTCTCAAAGGTAGAAAATGGGAAAGGGCTTTAGCCATAGTGAGGGAAGCTAAGTATTGAACCAGAAGTCCCCCCCACCCCACCCCAATACCCTGGAACGATCGCATTTTCTCTCCTCACTAGGGCCTAAATCCACTGATAAAGGTTCCCCTCCCATGTTTGCCTCCCTGCCTATCAAACCAGCACGTTCTATCAGAGTTCTACTTCATTCAGATAGGTCCAAGTTCTCTCCTCCCTCACTTTGATACTCTTTTTTTCCCCCTTCTTCTTCTTCCTCAGTGGGAAGTTCTACCTCCAGTCTAATCACAGTTTCTACTGTTTTACTATGAAGGAATTTTGAGGGCAATCTAAGGCATTGGGAACCAAATCCCTGGAAGGAGGAAGGATTAAGGTTGAGAACCATCACCACCACCACCACCACCACCACCCCTAGTAGTTAGGAGTCTGAAAAGAAGGACGAGGTCTCTT